TGGAGAAAAAAGGACAGCATGGCTACTCCCTCAAGGGCAGGAGCGCCTCGGAGTGGTCTAGCTACTCTCTCAAGGGGAGAGGACCCTGACCCCTGCCAGGACAGGCTTTTATTGGATTCAATTAGCACAGGAATACAGGTAAAGTTCATTAATCATTGTCAAGCAGTAAGGATCAAACAATAGATAGTATACAAAGAACTACCAGGGCCTATTCTGAGTCAAGGTTTGTTAGCTAAAGGGCTACAAAACTTTGGGAAACAAACTCATTTCCTGCTCGGACATTTATCATTTAATTGAGAGCATTCTTAGCAAGGCAAGTTTCACAAGATTTTACATATTCTTTCTTAGGCCTGATCACCCAGGGAGCCTGCTCTCTCCAGCACAGGGCTGCACTGCCCTCTGTCATTGTTTCAGGCTTAAGTCAGGCAGGGAAGTAAGGCAGCCAAGAGATTAGGAGACTTCTCGAAGACTGAATGAGGACTCAGGCTATGTCAAAGCCGAGGGGCCAGAGTCCATCACCCCCTTTTGCTGTAGCCCACCAAGTCCTTTCCTGGGGCCTCCACATGATTGTGCCTGTCTTAGGTCGTTCCCCCTTTGGGGAATCTTACCCATCATTGGCTAACCGATTAAGCACTGGGGGCCAGTTATGAATGAAGTAAAAGGAGCAGAAGCGGTGCCTATGCCAAGGAGATAAGCTTTGTCTCCTTGGTTTATGGTCTGAAGGTCGCTCACTCAGCCTTAGACATGAGGTGGTTACAGCTTCTGAAACCAGGCAGTGCAGTTCCCAATAGTCACTCAAGTCCAAGAATTTCAAGGTAATATTTAAGGATCACCTAAGGTTTTGAAATTGTAGTTGCAATACTCTGTGCAACTTCACTTACATGCTATACTAGCAGGGAGCTGTAGCTAAGTAGTTTCCCGGTTGAGAAGAATCAGATTATACCACACTCCATCCTTGGATATTTATGCTCTTTCTAGATTTACACATCTTGGGAAAGTAAAGCAACAGCTAGACCTTAAACAAAGTAATGAAGAAAGGGTACTTGCCTGAGCAAAGTGATACCTGGGAACACTTTGTCCCATTTATGTGCCGCTTATGCCACTTATGTTTGTGACATTATCTAGGTGCATATAAGGAACATTTTACTGTCTTTGGGGAAATCACTTCATCTCAGGAAGTGCTGTGTTGTAAAGGGGCCTGATGCGAAGTCTGAGATTCCAGAAGTGGGGCAATGGGAGTGAGCAAGGTGAAAAGTTAGAGATGCTTGTCACAGGTGATGGAAGGTTCCATGGCAGCACTCATATTTTTCCTTCTCAGCAGCCATTCCTACTCCAACTGTTTGAAAAGAGATATGAAGATAATAGTAATAATTACAAAAAAACCAACAATAGTAAAAATGCCCAAGGTCTTTTCATTAGGCATGCAACAAATTTAAAATGCTACACTTTTGTGAAATAGCATATACTTTTGTTGAATATTTAAAAGTTGTCTGACAAGATGAGATCTGCAGGAAAAGGTTTGGGTATTTACTAAACAACTTTTGAGATCCTAGTCCTCTAGAGACTCACTCTGGCAGTTTTAAAACAAGCGCTGTAAATGCGGAGTCTATGTAACCAAATGAGAACTGGCTTGAGATTCTTAGGTCGAATCAAGAACCAGCCCAGAAGGAGCATTTGGTGTCTTCTGCACTAGGAAGTTAATTGAATTGTTTGTTTATATACTTGTATACTAAGATTTTAATGAAACTGTTATTTCTTTCTGCTAGTTAATTCTCTCAGAAAGACAATTGGGTTGAGTGACTGTATTGACTATTTGTACAAAGCAATTTAGTTAAACTCTTTCTTTACCAAGTGCATTTCACAGATTCCAAGATGAGGGTTTTTTATTTAACATTTTAATGCTCTACTTTTGAGATTCATTTACAATTAATTGTATGTCATTGTTTTACTGGAAGCATCTTTTTCTTTCTTGTTGCTGGGTAAATAACATTGCAACTTGCGATTTATGGCACCGCAGATTTAAAGAAAGGCAGCAGGGAAGTCAGAGAAAGAAGGAAAAAGTGGCACAAAATTAATTCATAGAATGTGAACTGATTCACCAACATGCAGCATAGTAAGTTCCACCCCAGTGGAATTTCTCTGTTATCGGTGTCATTTACATTCCGGCTTTCCAGCTCCATATCCAGTTATAGGAGTGTTAATGACTGTCAAGATTTTTTCTGAACGGCAATTTGTTGTAATTTTCCTGTATCAGGTCCTAGTAGTATTTCAGAAACCTTAACCTTCCAGCAGAAATTCACCAGAAGATCAATAAAGTGATTACAGTGGATATGTTATTGCACCAAGGATAGTGACACACTTTGACCTAGACACTTACTGGATCGTGGAACTTAAAAGAGTACACCCATAAAAATGCTCTGTTTTTAAAAGACAAAACTAAGATGTACACAAATTCAATAGTAGATTCTATCTCTCTGTTTAAATGGCAGAACAAGGTGGTTTGCCCAAGAGAATGTAAGAATAGGTCATTGATTTAATTTAATTCTCCTAGTCACTGTTCATAGGTCTGGCTGTTATGAAATTTCAGAAGGAAATGCATAAAAAATGCAAAAAATTCTTTCTCCCTAGCAAAGGTTTTTATCTAGTTTGAATCCCAAATAGAAAAGTATGTGACTGTTCACTTAAGAGTATAAAAAGAAATGGTCTTTACTTAATTCATATCTTCTCTTTAATAGATCTTTTGAGGAATGCAGATTACTCTTGGATCTTCTGAGGAACTCAGATGACTTTATTTCATACTTTCCAAGATGACATTATAAGATCTCATATTATATTTAGTGATCATATTATCCTTTATATTTCTATTTTACACTTGGAAGCAGTACTTAGTAAATGATATTCTAAAGAATTAAATAATTTTACTGTTGCAAAATTATTTCTCCTTGTACCACAAAATTTGACATAGAAAAAGTCTTAGAGACCAATGGTCTTGCAAAGAATTGGAATTTTTGGATATGACTATCTCAAGAATTCGGCTTTATAAACTTGCCTGGGTGGGAACAATTTATAAAAATTAAGTTTGTAAGATGACAAAATACAGTGGCCACAGTAGTTCAGGCATTCCTGCAGACATGCCTTTATTAGCATTCTGGGAAAGTACAGAAAGGAATATCCAAACTTTTGGCATCTCTGGACCACACTGGAAGAAGAAGAGTTGTCTTGGGCCACACATTAAATACACAAACACTAACAAGAGCTGATGAGCAAAAAAAAAAAAAAAAAAAAAAAAAAAGGTTTTCAGTAAATTTATGATTCTGTATTTGGCTGCATTCGGAGCCACCCTGGGCCCACACGTGGGCTGCAGACCATGGGTTGGACACTCTATTCGAATGTGTCCAAATTATGCTCTCAAGTCCAGAATATATGCTGATATAGGAAAAACATTTAAGAACATGTGTTCTTCATAAAGAATTAAATGATTTCACTTGTAGTTCTTGCAGCAGGCTATAAATAGCCAACTTGATGATTAAAACCTTGGGATAAACTTGTTTCTAAGAACAGTATGTGACTTAGGCGAATAGAGTGGACACATAAATGAGTAATGACTGTTTAAAAGAATTGAAATTCTTAAATTATGCCTTAATTTTCATCCTTGGTAAAAAAAGCAGAGAAAAGGAAAAATATATGCTATTTTACTGTTTAACTATTAATGGGACACTTTTAAATGTATGCTTATATCTTTTATTAGAGAAATAGTACCTTTATTACATAATCATGTTTTAATTCTTGATCATATCCCTTTCCAATGATATAAAAATGTCTAGTGACAAATGGCAATAAAACATCTTTCCTGCAACAAAACAGGAGAAATTGTGTGCATTGCTGTCTATACAGGTACATGAAAAGAAAACATTTAACAATGTAAATTTCAGGCAGTTACATTTATCTTGGAATTTTGTGGGTTTCTTTAGTGTTGAAGATAGAGGGCAACCATAGTTGTTATGTAACAAAACTTTTATACATATCCTAGGCAGTGCTCTATATCTTTATTAGGAAGGCTTTATTTTTTGGCAGTTTGATTTGGTATTCATCTACGCCAGTCAATAATTTGTGTGTGTGTGTGAATTACACAACGTTGACTTTTCAAAGTAGACTGGAACTATGTAAAAAAATCCGAGATCAGCAGATTAATTAGCCCGAGTCATCTGGCATCATGTTGGTTTTGCATCATCAATGGTCTGCGTACGTTCTGCTCTTTTCTTCATAAGGTTCAGTACAGTAGTAGAGTGAGCACCGAGGAAATGTCATGGACTCTTTGACCACCAGGAAAATGTTCTGTTCATCGTGCTCCCCTTAAAAAAGAAAAGAAAAGAAAAGCAGCCAGGCGCTGGGAACAAATCTGACTCAATGCATTTTCTCAGTGAAAAGAAAAAAGGACTAAAAGGCCAGGCTCTCCATTCGACTCGCTTCTTTTGTTTCTCAAAGGTCTTCTCTTCATTTTTCAAACGAGAAAAAAAAAAGTCAGCACCAGCATAAAAAATATTGGAACGTCACAAGAGAGAAAGCAAGAAACATATAGTGGCATTTGTCTCTGTGAATTCTTTCTCTTCCCATGGGTAACAGCCCCTTCCGTTCTGCAGCTGGGCTTACGCTCCAGGTTTTCAGAGGGGTAAAACTTCGGCCACAAGGTGGCATTGACCTGCAAACAAAGAACAGTGGCACCGACTTTTTAGAAGCCCTGAAAAACTGCCTTGCCTTCACAGAGGCACGCACGGTGCCGATGAGTTACTTTCCTCTGCATCGTGAGTCGGTGTCTAGCAGCGTGCGTCCATGTCTAAGAATGTGTCGATTTCATTGCATTTCTGCCCAGAATGACTAGGCAATGCACCCCCGAGGGGTACAGCCAAGAAGAGGTGTTTGTGGGGGGAGCTCCAGGCGCAACTCTTGGGGCGCGTCACGTGACCCGGGGATGAGGCGGAGTTCGGCTTTAAGGGGCGTCTCTGCTTATCTTCATCAATCTTTGGGGTGTGAGCAGGAGAAATGCCAGCGGTTCTTTTCTCCTCTCCCTGCTCCCTTCCTTGGCCATCCTTCCCGCTTCACTAAACAGGGGCGCAAAAGACAAATCCATCGGAGGGTAAGTTGCAAGTTTACACCTTGTAAGGGACTTTTGAGAAATTACTCACTGATGGAGTGAAGGATATGAGAGGAAGAAAAAAAGCGTAGGAGAGCCAGAAACTGGCCCTGGGAGACTGAGGTGGGAAGAGCAGTCAGCCCTTCTGGTCAGGTCCCCGCGCCGGTAGGTCGTGATCGGACGGTTCCAGGACTCCAGTCCAGGGGAATGGGGACATTGGTGACCGGGACCTGCGGCATCCGCGCGCCCAGCTCCCGGAGGACTTCTGGACGGGATCGAGTTCTCCTCCCCTAAAAAAGGCAAGGGGTCGACAGGTGTCTTTGTTGGACTTCCCCTCACCTTGCTCATCTGCCGCATTGGCCTGGAGCGGGCTGGAGCCCCTGCTGGGGTAGGCGACTGGAGTTTTCGCGGAGGAAGGAGTACCGGGATAGTCTGGGGAGCGGGCGCTCGGTGGGTCTTCGGCTTTCAGCCCCTTCTCTCAGCACGTGTCAGGCTGAGGTCCCGGCTGGTCCCCAAGGCCGCGGACCCCAGCGCAGATGTGGTCTCTTGGGACACTTGTGTGTCCCCGGCTGGACTGGAATCGAGCCCCATCCCCCTGTGCTGGGCCCTCCAGTCTGTCGCTGCGCCCTGAGCCCTCTACCCCATTCCCCAGTTTTAATCATCTAGCACTTCACCTTCTTTCAAAACAGTGATGTTAGCAGCCAGGCTTGTTTAGAGGACTGCGCGGAGGTGGAGGTGGTTTAAGAGTCTTCCCGTGGTCTCCAGGTAGACTGGAGAGAGGCGAATGCATTAAGGACTGATTTTGGAACAAAACGAACTGACCGAGTTTGGGCTCTGCTTGTTTGTTTTTGGTTGGTTTGGATGGTTTTCCATTTTGCCAGTCCTAATCATCATAGGTAGGGATGTGCCCTCATAGATGGGTGGCAAGTGTGTGGGTGGGGGCAGGCGTGGGGGGTGTTAGGAATGAGGCAAATGTGGGGCAATTCACGTAGTTACACAATATGAAAACGGTGGGGGCCTAAGCGCGCTGCATGGTAAGATCCTAGGGGAGGACAGAGAAAGTGTGATTTGACTTTTCCTTTTTTTAAGTGCTCTCAGATGTGCCATGTTCACCTGGATCCTAGGGGGAAAGCATAACTTGCTAAGTGGCATACATGCTCCGGTAAGTGCAGAGCTTGTCTGTCTCTGCTTGGACAGAGTGGAGAAACAGTAGCTGCCAGTTCCAAGACTGCAGGCTGCCTCCCTGGTGAAGCAAGACAGAGCAGAAAGCTATCCAGCCCAGTTCCCCACCCATGACTACTGATCAGAGCTTCTGTGTGAGTGACTCTGACGGTATCAGCCTTCCTTAGTGTTTAAAGGCAGCGGTCTGTTGAACAAGCCCTCCTTGGAGAAGAAGGAACCAGGAATATGCAACTCATGGAGATGAATTAGCAGTAACTTTGGGAGGCCGCATGTAACAAGACTGATATTTCTTTTCCAAAGGAAATGAGGTGAACAGCCAATTCTGAGTTTATAAAAATGTTTTTATCTGCAGGAGGCTATGAAATACAGAAGCAATATTTCCAAGTAGTAACAGCACTAAAACAGCAAGTGGTGAAAGGCCAGTGTTCTAATTGGAAAGGAGAAAGAAATGTGCTTTCGGGAAGGGGCTAATTTCCCAGCTGGGGATGCGTGCAGTGTCTCTGTTTTGTCTATAAATGCATGTGACAGTGATAATGAGATTTAACAATCTTTAATTTTTTCAGTGTCTGTAGTTGCATGCCTTGTTTTAGAAATATATATTGGAATAATAAATAATTTTTGTAAAGATAATGCATGTAAATTTTTCCTCTTAGTATTGTTGCTTTCTGGCAATTACTCTGTCTCGAAATTATACTAAGGTAGGCTGAAAATATATACATTTTATCCCATGGGGAACTGTTTTATCCAACTAGAATGATTACTCAACAATACACTTAGCAAAGGAGGCTTGCAAATACTTTAAAAAATAGTTCACATTTTCTGTATACCTCAGTTAACTTCTTAGTAAGAATACTATTCCTCACAAGAAATGTCTACCATATGTAATTTCAAAGGTATTATAGTTTCAGTATATTTACATAAACTCACCTATTAGAAGGCTATCTTTGTAGCCCATACATTGTAATAATTTAATAAATGTTTGCATTAATTTCCATACATATTGAATTTTGTCCAAGTCAGTGGATGTAAAATTTCCATTTTTTCTTTCCATTACACCTTTGGTCTGCACCTTCATTATCTTTCACTTGGACTAATGCACTAACCTCTTTATGAATCTCCCTACTTCTTTTCTTTCCTGTTCTTAAGTCTGCTGAAAATGGCAGCTAGAGTAAAAATTTTAAAACAACTCATGTAACTACATGCCTTTACCAAAGACTCTCCAGGGATTCCTCATCTTTGTCAGAGGAAAAAGTCAAAGACTGTTCCATAGAATAGGGCCCTACAGAGTCTGCCCCTCCTCTGTTTACCTTTTCCAGTGCTGTTCCACACACCAGGTACCCTCCAGCCATAGGGATTTTATATTCTGTCCACTTGGGACGCAGTCCCTGAGCTCCCTGAATAGCCTCCTCCCTCACCACCCTCATGTCTTAACTCACCTCCCCTTAGGCAGGTAGAGGCCTTTTCTGCCACCCAAGATAAAGTGCAGCTCCTAACAATCCTAGTCCCCCCTCCTTGCTTTAGTTCTCTCCATAGCACTTAGTATCATCAGGCATGCTCTGTTTTATTTACTTATGTCTTTCTCTGCTCACAAGGTTAGAAACTCAATGAGAATGTCACAACTGTCTCCACTAACACCATGCTTGACACAAAATTAGTGTTCAGTAACTATGTATTGGGAAAATGAATTTTCTTTCATAAACAATTTTTTTAACCCAAAGTGGAACATTTTTCCCTACATACCTGACCTAATAATAGATCTATTAAATTAGCACCCACTTTTGCATGTAAAAGGACTGGGAGAGATTTCAGCTACTGATGTAAGACTAACTCATGGAAGAACCTGCTATTCCAACCACACATCTACTATGTCACATTTTTATTCTAAATCTAATATTTGCAAGGTACAATGAGGTATATACAATACCGACTTTAAAGAGGTTATATGACAATTGAGAGGAGCCAGTTAAGGATTTGAGGGACTAAATGGTGCTTCGAAAAATGGGTGGAAGTTGCATTGGTGACGAGACAGAACACCTGCAAAAAGAAATCTCTGGGCAAAGGTGCAGGCGTTCAAACAGGCCAAGTGCACTGGTGGAGGGTGAAGAGACTGGCCTACCTGGAACAGAGTGTTCACAATGGGGCTCTCAAAGCAAAGAGGGAAAGGCAGAAGAAAGCATAATGTGGAGGTCTTCAAGCGTCAGGCTGAGGCATGTAGTCAATAGTCCAAATCTCACGCCTGGGTATCTATTCCCCTGGTGGTGACTGGTGACAGGGAGCTATGAGAAGTCACAGGACAAAGAGGATATACTTTCCTATTCAGCTATTTTTACTCTTAATAAGGAGGAAAAACTCACACTTCTCTGGTAAGTATCATGGTAACAACCTGCGTATGAAGCATGATGCAGAATTTTCTTGAATTCCGAAGTGAGAAATTTCCAAAGGATTTTTAGATCACTTGGTTCTTCAAGGCTTATTTTCAGGAACTTAGAGGCATAGATCATTCTCTCTGCCTTTGGTATTCTTGAGAGAAGAAGTGTGATGACCACCACGTAAGTTTAGGAGTCCTGACAGGGTATGTCCTAGAGGAGAGGAGAGCTGTATTTCTAATAATATTCACATTAGAAACCGTTCCACTACCATTCCCAGTCTTAATACTTTTGTTCTCACTTAATGTTAGCAACTTTTATTTTATTCTTTTGGTTTTATAAATTCAAGTTTTGGCTGTATAATAGAAACAGTTCCCATTCTAGAAAGCAAAAACATTCAAGGAAAGTTTCATTAGAGACACCACTTAAAAAGCAAACATATTGTTGGTTCATTAAATGTCTTATCTCCTTTTCAGTGGAAGTAAATCTGCATGATTCCCTTTATTGTTCTCAAGAAAGGAGGAAAGAAATGAAATTACCCTTCTTAACATAGGCACAATGGCCTGGTAGTTAACATAAGTCTCCCCTCATTTATTTACTTAGTAATCTAGGGTAAATCTGAGATTTTTTTAAAAGTTTTCATTTTTGCAAAACTATGGTCTGTAATTTGTTTTGTTGGTAAAAGTGCTGTGAAAGATCAAAAGTATAACCAGAATTAGTATTTTAGAGAGGAAGGAAGATATTTATAAGAATAGAATCTTAGAGATCTTTTGAAAGCTTCTGACATGTTAACAAACTTATATAATCTTACAGTTAGAATTTCAGAGCTATCTACACAAATGCAAGAACTAGAAGCTTTACATGCAGTGGTTATTAACTTGCTTGTATAGATACTTGCTAGATTTGCAGGCAGTTCATTCCATTTGATTAAACATTTGTTCCTTGTAATGGTATGAAGATTTTTAAAATATAATATACTTCCTTTGGTTCTAACTTCTGTAATTAGACATATTATAAGCCTAGATTCCTACGCCAGATGCTACCCACTCAAAGATGAAAAGACATCTATTACCATCCCTGTTAAGTTTTTTTCTGGATTAAATATCTTCTGTTTCTTCAACAGCCCTTCGTATGACAATTTCTTAATGTTTCATTGTATTAATAATTTCTTTCTGAATATATTGTGTTAAATAATGTCTTCCTTAAGGAGCAGCAGTTCAGTGTATGATGGAGCTATTATTACAACTTGACCTTTATAAGAATTCTCTCATTTCTATAGTAAGAGAAAGAATTGGGTAGTTTTGTTTTTGTTGTGTTGTTGCTTTGCTTGTTTCATATGTTTCTTGTATTTTAAGCTGCACGTTAAGTTTTTTTGTTATACATTCATATTCTTACAGTGTTTAGAAATATGCTGATAGTAGTTTATATAAGACCTTGAACATGAGATTCACAGAGTTTACTAATTTACAGACCATATGTTTGTGTAAACAAGTCAAATGAAAAAGTATTGAGATTTTTTCAAAATGTTTACACTGTTTCTGCTATTTTTAAAATATGTTTATACAGATTTCATTTTGTTTGTCTTCAATTTAAACAGTACTATGAGTCAGAATTCATTTTGCCTGCCCTCAATAAAATTAGTAATGCAATTGGTCATTTTCTCTTTACAGATTGTTCAGTTCTAAGAAATGAAGAATTCAGAATAATTTTGATAAGTGGATGCCAATGAGGAATAAGAATAAGCTGAACATTTGACCTGCTTTGAAGAAACATACCATCCATTTGTCTAAAGTAATCTATAACAACTAAAGCAATCAAAATGGATTTAACAATATTTTCCCAGGCTGAAAATCATTCAATCTACTATAATTTTTCAAAAAATAATTCCCAATTTTGGGCTTTTGAAAATCATTGTCATCTGCCCTTGGCCATGATATTTATAATAGCTCTAGCTTACGGAGCTGTGATAATTCTTGGGGTCACTGGAAACTTGGCCTTGATCATAATCATCTTGAAACAAAAAGAGATGAGAAATGTTACCAACATCCTGATTGTGAACCTCTCCTTCTCAGACTTGCTTGTTGCCATCATGTGTCTCCCCTTCACATTTGTCTACACGATAATGGACCACTGGGTTTTTGGCGAAGCAATGTGCAAGCTGAATCCTTTTGTGCAGTGTGTTTCAATCACTGTGTCCATTTTCTCTCTGGTTCTCATTGCTGTGGAGCGACATCAGCTGATCATCAACCCCCGAGGATGGAGACCAAATAATAGACATGCTTATGTAGCTATTGCTGTCATTTGGCTCCTTGCTGTGGCTTCGTCTTTGCCCTTCCTGATCTATCAAGTGTTGAGTGATGAACCGCTCCAGAATGTCACACTCGATGGGTTCAAGGACAAATACGTATGCTTTGATAAATTCCCATCGGACTCTCACAGGCTGTCTTACACCACTCTCCTCTTGGTGCTGCAGTATTTCGGCCCACTCTGTTTTATATTTATTTGCTACTTCAAGGTAAGAAAGCTCCTCTCTCCTCCCACCATTTCCATTTTTACCTTCTTTCCAAAGAATTCCTCATTAAATAAGTGGTTTTATGTGAGCTCACTTTTCCCCCTTTTCTCTACAGATATATATTCGCCTAAAAAGAAGGAACAACATGATGGACAAGATGAGAGACAATAAGTACAGGTCCAGTGAAACCAAAAGAATCAACATCATGCTGCTGTCCATTGTGGTTGCCTTTGCCGTCTGCTGGCTGCCCCTTACCATCTTCAACACGGTGTTCGACTGGAACCATCACATCATTTCTACGTGCAACCACAACCTCTTCTTCTTGCTCTGCCACCTCACGGCCATGATATCCACCTGCGTCAACCCCATATTTTATGGATTCCTGAACAAAAATTTCCAGAGAGACCTGCAGTTCTTCTTTAACTTCTGTGATTTCCGGTCTCGGGATGACGACTATGAGACAATAGCCATGTCTACCATGCACACAGATGTTTCTAAGACTTCTTTGAAGCAAGCAAGCCCAGTCGCATTTAAGAAAATTAACAACAACGATAACGATCTGAAGCTGCTGTAGCACACGGTGCCAGTTGACATCTGTTTCAAAAAAGCACAACCCGCAGCATACTTTCACCACCCGTTCAACCAAGGACTGGGGTTGACATCACTGAAGAAAGACCAAGATTTGACTGTGTTGCTTTCCACTGCTTTCATTGTAACCGTCATAATCACATTTGCAACAAGACGAATGGGCTTTGGAATCTTCTAGCAATAGTTTTGACCAGACATCTTGAAAATGCTTTTTGTAAATTTATGCATATGTTATAGAAGTTTTTTTATTCTGTATTTATTGGAATGACATTTATTTGAAGCATTACTATCAGTGACTTTGGAAGCGCTACACCTGACACTCCAATTACATTGAGCCATCCTTAGTGACAGTGAGATGGTCACTAGACTGAGCGATCTTGATGTACTAACTATAGTCATTGTTTCCGTCAGTTACAGAGGTGATGGCCTGCAAATAGCATCTAGGAGTTGGGGCCAAAAGAGAGCCTGTGTCTTGCATACCTATAGTCTAAAGTCATCCAGGAGTGATTTGCATTTTTAAAATATAATTTAGGATAGTATTTAATTTGCTTCTAATTAATTATCACTTATGATAAAAATGCATAAAAGTATAAATATTTCTCAGCTGTGAATGCCAGGGAGGTTGGGCCACCCACAAGAATGAAGTGGCAAGGCAGTTCCCTAATTACAAAACTATTTTTGGTACCCAACAACCAAAGGATTTCAAAGCAATTAGTTTAACAGTTAAGTTGATGATGCTGCAGATAGTTGAATTATATTTATTTGAATTGATGGGCAAGAGGTTTGCCATCTTTCACAAACTGTTTGGTGTTTGTCAAGCTTTCTAGATAAATATACATGCAATTTCCAGCTTACAATGTATAAAAACACAAAGTGTATTTTCCATACATCAGTGCCTATATTGTAACTCATTTTTAATTTTGAATGTCTTTCAGAAAAGGACACCAAGGTACAATGTTAAAAGAATGTTCGCCCTGGCTAGCAGGGATAAGTACCTAAAAACCGAAAACACTTCACATAGCTCATGTTAACCTGTATAAACTGTACCTTGTGGAGTCTCTTTAATAATGTACTATATAGAGTCCTGAGTAGTCATGTCGTGTTAATATACTCAGTTTCCTGTACCTTGTAATCGTGATTGAGCCTCAGAATCATTTGGAGAAAAGATATTTTAAAGAAGAAGACATATCTTTGATGTAGTATACACACAAAGTATTAAATGTGTTGATTTTAGAAGGTTAGACATTTTCTTTATTAAAATTGCTTTTGCTTTTTCTGAGTCTCTTGTGTCTCTCTGCAGCTTCGTTTTCTTTTCTTCTTTCTTCTTGTTTCCATGTCTCCCCCCCGCCCCATGGCATCCGCACAGCACACTATGTCCACTGGAGAACGAAACATGTTCTGCACTGTGGTGTAACTGTTGATGGCCCAGTCTTTTCCCTTTGCTTTTTGAAGCTTCTTGAAGGCAGAGGCGGATTTACATGGTTCTATGTGCCCAATGTGTTTAGCACAGTGCCCGATCCTTAGGAGTTTTAAAACTACATATTTCTAAAAACAAATAAATAAATAAAAATGACTAAACTTCCTTCTCTCTCATTTATGAGCATATTGACTTCACATCCTGACATTTTCTGGGACTCCTGCTCCTAAGTTTATCTCTACCAAGGAGATGTTTTTTTCTTTTTTATTATGTTCTTTTTTTCCTCCTGAACTGAGCAAAAGGGACCTTGTAGATTTTAGAACCTTGCATAATTTGTCTTATAAATCAAGCAAATATCAAACTTTCGACATTGAATGTTAACATGAATTTAAATTATAGCCTAAGAATGAATTTTCTTTAACTGAACAAGAAAAAAATTCTGAAACCAAGTTTTAATAATAGATGGCAAAATATAATTTTCCTTTATACCAAAACCTGGAATTTTAAGCTAAATGTTTTTCCGCTTTGAAGGTCTAATGGGAAGTGTTGCCATTCTTTACCTAGGTGCTATGGAAACAAATCAGCACTTGAGCAAAGCCTTGATACGGAGGCGCTTCATTGCCACCACATTTGCTACAATGGCCATTTCTAGGATGTTTGTTCGGTGGTGTAGGCTGCTGATTCCTTGACTTTACATAAGTCATGAGCTTAATATTAAATTCTTCTCTCTTATCAAAAGATATCAATGAACCAATAGTGAAGCCTAGGTTCAACAACAGACCCATCAACTTTCAAAAAAATAAATGCCATATTACATACACACTGTGGAACCACTGGGTGTTCTTAAACCCAAGAACAAATAAATTATGAGCTTAGTACAAGAGCATAGCTATAAGGTAGCTTATATACATTTATAATAAAATGATAATAGCTAGAATTTTTAAACAGGAGGTGCCAAGTATTATGTCAAGTACTTAAGTATTTCTGAGAATTTGTGACTAACATTTGGCCAGTTCCCATAATGGGAGACTGAAGCGCACGTTGAAGAATTTGAGCTGCATCCTGAGGAATGAGTGGAGAGGCATCAAATCTGGGTCTGTCCCGTATGAATAAACTAAATGATGAGCTGGACTTAAGGTAAGGTTTTAGAAAAATCACTTTTTTCTCTCTTTACAAGTTACATTGTCAGGGCATCTGCCTTCTTTCTCACTTTGGCTACCATAAAGAATGGATTGAAGTGGAAGAATTGAGAGAATATGGTCACTTTGATTATTTGTGTCCATAAATTATCTTTTGAATTGGAGGATTCTACCTAAAAATAAAATTTGACCATTCATATTAACTTTATTTATTTACTGTTTATTGGATATTCTCATTCCCTTTTTTTTTATTCCATAAGCTTCCAAGAAAATATAAGTGCATATTATGCTGTATTTTTCAAAATTTCACAACTAAATATACAAATATTTTCCCAATGAAAGTGTGTCTTCACAGTGTAGAAGTGCTAGAAAGTTGTTGATTTTCGCTGGGGTCCAGGGATAACTCGGGCCCTGTTCCCTCACTGCAGTTCAGCGAGTTTATGGGCACTGCTGAGTCCTTCACCCCAGTCAGGCTTGCTTTCCTCAGCAGGCTGGGATTCTGCTGGAGAATGTATTGCTCAGTGAGACACACATTCTGTCATAGTCTCCATGTTTTCTTCATTTATTTATCCCTCTAGTCTTTTGGAGATATGTTAGACTTAAAAGAGTCTGCCCTTGAAAATGAGGCATAGCATTCTAGGGCAAACTAATAAGATTTCCTAAATTTCTTTCATATAATGATTCCTTTATCAATATGTTTGCATTTACATTGTATGGGTATGAATATATGTATACGTATGCATATACATCTACATCTACATATATATATATATATAGAGAGAGAGAGAGGGGAGAGAGAGAAATGTATAATTCTGCAGTGGGTTTATGTTTATTGCTATTCATTTCCTGATTTCTTATAAAAACTATTACCTACAGAGTACTATGACAAACTGCCCTATAAGGTACTACTATTGTTTTCCTTATTTTACAGACAAGGAAAATGAAACCTAGAATGGTTATGTGACTTGTCCAATGTCCCTCAACTACCAAATAACAGCCAAGATCTATGTCCAGGATTTAAATGCACTTGGGTTTAAATCCAGGCAATTTGGTTTCTGACTGTGAGTCTGTAACACACACCGAAAATATTCCTGACATGCCGCATTGCCTGAATTCCCCAACCTCTCCCTCTCCAATCTTTCCGTTACTGGATCTACTCATGACTTCTTGGAATCCAGGTCTGTTCCAATTCTAAACAACCTCAGAAAGGTAAAAAATAGATATTTTTCGAAGCCATTCTTTGAGATGTAACCAAATTCCTAATCGTAGTAATTTAGGCAGAATTGCAGTATTGAGACACAGATCTGCTCCACCCAAGGATTATCAATGCAAATCTCTTCCTTTTCTCTAGTTCTCTATTTCCTCTGCCTTCCAGGGTTTTATATAAGTTTCAGGTGTACAGCATAGTGGTTAGTCAATCATGTACTTTACAAAGTAGTACCCTGGTATTTCAAGTACCGACTTAGCACCATGCACAGTTATTATATTATTTTATTTCCTATGCTGTACTTTATCTTTTTATTTTACTTTATTTTTATCTTTATTGTATGTTTTCCATGAACATTCAGTCATTATATCCCCCTTCCCACCCCAGCCACCACACTGTTGTCCATGTCCATAGTCCTTTTTCCTTTTTGCTCAATCCCTCCACCTCCTAACCTCCTCCTACCACTAGCTGTCATCCGCTCTCCATCCATGATCTCTAGTCTTTTTAGTTTCCCAGCCATACCTCAGTCATCTTCTAGGATCATTTTCCCGATAAATGAGTGGGGTTTGAAACCTTAGTAGGTTTCTGTGAACCTTCCTTTTCGGAGCCAGAAGCATTACCCTACATGATCTCATACTCTAGCCTCTGGCTGGGGAACTGTCATCTGAACGGACATAGAACAAAGATTTTTGACTGCCTGACTTCTAAACCAGGAATCCTGCTTGGGAGAGAACACATGGGACTCTCAATTAAAATTGTTGATGTTCACAAAAGGTGAGCAATATTCCACTCAAACCAAAAAACATACTAAGCAAAGTTTATTGATGTAATTATACAACTATCCCCTCACCTAGCAACATCACATTATGGGCTATGTTTTCTGGCATAGTTTAAACACAACTATATTTTATTACAGGACTATCTCTAGCTTTGCCTGAGGCTCTGTTTGCTTTGGCATCAGGAATAAACATTGACAAGATTTGTTTGTATTTCTGGCCAATTTTTTTCTTCATTTTTTTTGAGATATAATTGACATACTATAAAATTCACCTTTTTAAAGTGCTTTCCAGTGGATTTTGGTATAACCATAGACCTGTGTAATCATCATCACTCTAGAATTCCAGAACATTTTCATCACTCCAAAAAGAAACCCCTACTTCTCATTTCTAGTCTGGCTAGTAAAGAGTTTGGACTTTGTCCCCCGGTCACACGAGTGAAATGCTGAGCAAACTGAAAATCCAATAATTCTTCTGATATCTATCAGAGATGTGAGGTCACAAAACTAACTGCTGCCCCCAAATTAAGAGACCGGCAGACCCGGAGAATCAGGGTTTACCGCAGCAGAGACTGCCGAGTGAAAAATTTGAACTGTCATTGACAAATTGGCGGGAGTCTGGCATGGACAAGTCTTTGAGTTAAAAACTTTAGGAAGACCCAGTCGTAGGGAGGCCCCCTTATTTTTTTTACCTCTAGGAGCTTGACCAAGATTTTACAGTTTGTTGATCAAGTTTTAACAAAAGACGTCATAAAAGCCAAATTTAAATATAAAGATCCACATAGATGAAAAGAAATAGTAACAAAAAAACAATTCAAAAATGGGGAAAGGACCTAACAGATGTTTTTCCAAAGAAGACATTCACATGGCTGACAGGTATTTGAAGAGATGCCCCACATCACCAATCATCAGGGAAAGGCTGATCAAAATCACAATGAAATATCATCACCTCACTAGCATGTCTATTATGAAAAAGTCAGAGGTAATTACTGGCAAAGAGATGAAGAGAACCCTTGTATACCGTTTGCGGTTATGTAAATTGGTACATCCACTGTAGAAATAGTATATAGTATTTCTTTCCTAATAAAGTAAAAACAGAATGACCCTATGATCCCACTTTTGGGTATATATGCAAAGGAAATGATATCAATATATCAAAGAGATATTGGTACTCCAATATTCATTGCAGCATTATTCATAATAACCAAAGTATGGAGACAACCTAAGCGTCCATCAGTGGATGAATGGATAAAGATGATGAAATTCAGCCTTAAATATGAAGAAATCTTTTTATTTGTGACAACATGGTTGAGGGTTGAACCTGGAGGGCATAATATGCTAAGTGAAATAAGCTAGACAAATTCTTCATGGTATCACTTACGTGTGGAATCTAAAAAAAAAAAATAACTTTTACAAATGGAGAGAAGAAGAGTGATTGCCAAGGGCTGCAGGGTGAGGGAAATTCAGGAAGAGTTTAGTGAAGAATACATGCACTTTCAGTTTACGATGAATTAAGTCTTAGGATCTAATGTATAACATGGTGACTATAATTGATAACACTGTATTGTAAACCTGGAATTTACTAAAAAAAAAAAAAAAAGGAGAACTTAAATATTCCAACAAAAAAAGGAAGGGAAACACATGAAGTGATGCAATGTTAATTGGATGGGGGGAGTCTTTTCACAATGCATACATATATTAAAGCATCACATTGTACACTTTAAACATCTTACAGTTTTGTTTGTCAGTTATACCTCAGTAGAGCTGGAAAAATAAACCAAAGCTCTGGTATCCCGATTTTATTTAAAATGCTGTTAAGAGAAACAAGAAAACTCAGTAGGAATATGGACCAAATATTTGAACTTGACAAAAAAAGAAATTCAAATTGTTGTTAAAAATATGAATTGTTCAGTGTCATTAGTAATCAG